TAACAGGGAAAGTATTACCATAACAATTAATTTGCGGAGTCTACTACAAAATGTTATTAAATAAAAATAATAAGAAAAAAAGATAAAAATAAAATAACGTTATAAAAAGTGAGGTAACTTTATTTATCAATAGGTAACCAATATCCAATAAGATCGGGGAATAATATAATGTTAAGTTTTGTTGACCATGATTTTTGCTCTAAAAATGCCTAATAAAACAGCAAATTCTCTTAACATAATCAAATATGCTATTTTTAAGAATAGTTTTTTTTTGAAAAACAATGCAATCAATAGAAAGTTATTTTTATCTAATAATTTATAAAAATCAATTTATAAAGTATATTTAAAAACAATTGATATTTATGTTATTTCATAATGATAAAACAAATAACTAATTTACTATAATGCCTGGCATTTCACTATACAGTGCTCATTGGTTTCAAATCGATAATATTTTTTAATAAATCGATTATGTTTTTATATTTTCGACAGTATTTTTTATGGTTTATATTGTATTTAATGAATTATATTACTTTTAATGAAATAGACTGTGTTTTTTATAAATTATATAGCATTTGATGAAAGTGATTATATTTGTTATAAATTATATGGCATTTTTCTAATTTATACAACATTTTTAGTAAAATCAATAGTTTTTTTCTAAAATATATAGGATTTTTGATAACTTATATAACTTTTGTTTGAAAATATTTTGCTTTTTTTACAAATTATTGGATATTCCCGAATATTAGGAATAAAAATACACATAATAAGCAAGTTATTATTTGTTAAAAATACTTAATATGTAACTATATTTATACTATTATATAACTAAATTTTAATCTATTTTTATTATTTATTTTAATACAAATTTTCACAATTATTACACATAATAAAAATAATTAATTTATAATATAACTTTATCAATAATTATTACAAATATTTTATTATTGAATATATAATTATATATAATATATATTATATATATCATTATAATAGACTAATAAATGAACTATATTAACCATACATTGTTTAAAAACATTTGATTAAATATTTTCTTGGTTGTACACTCGAGGCCACACAATTTCCCTAACATTTTCAAAACAACTTTGGCACTCTTCTGGTTTAATAGTTAAAAAACCATCTCTGATTTTTTCAAGAAAATTTTCGATGCCATTCCAAGTCCTCACATTTTTTTCAACCCTACTTTTCCAGATCCCAAATATTATTTCAATTGGGTTTAGTGCTGGTGAGTACGCAGCATTAAATACTACAGTGTGGTTTGTATTATCTAGCATTCTTCTCATAGTGTTGTGAATATCACAATTATCCACCCAAAAAACGCATTGTCTCTGTTTTAAATCATACTCATGAATTAGGTACCGGAAGTAGTCTTCGAACGAATTTAACGTGTTTGTTCCACAAACCACATTGCAATAAGAGAGTCCGTCACAATCAACTGCGCATATGGAGGTGAGGCGAAGACCACCTTTTGATTTTGTGATGAAGGCTTCCTTCCCTCTAACTGACCAGCCATATGCAGGAGTTGATGCTACAGTCCAACTGGTTTCATCTATATAAACCCAACGTGCTCCACCTGTTATATAACCCCTTAGAGCGTTTACTGCTGCAATTCTTTTTTCTTTATTATCTGGCGTGTTGCTTGTTGGCCCTCTTGTCTTTGTTCTTTTGAAAGAAAAAATAGGGACTTCTCTCTCTTCACCTGTTGCTGTTTTACCAGTCATGAAATTTCCAATTGATGATATCGAAGGTGCATAAAGATCAATGTCTTCTTTAGTAACAGCAACCTTGGATATTTTTGGAATATCCAAAATGATTTCGTCAACATCTTCTTCTTCGCGTAATTTTTCTTCTTGTGCTATCATTTTTCTAATTGAAGTTATTTTTGTTGTTGTGTCTTCTTCAATGGCTTTTTCTACCAATTTTTGAAAAGGTAAAGTACGGCTTTGTCTTCTATAATGATTTTTTGGATATATTGATATCCCTTTTCTTAACATTGAAAGATACTTTTCAATGTTTATTTTTTTAATCCCAATTATTTCTGAATATCGTGAAGCATTCATGTTATCACCATTTTTACTCCATAGTTCAACAAAGAATCTCTTTGATCAATTGTAACACGAGAATAAGGTCGTGTATTTGTTTTCTTCTTTTTTGAATCCAATTTTCGGGGCCGACCCCGTGATCTTTTTTAAAGAGGTGGGATATCTTGATGGGGCAACATTACAGGTTGTACAGGTTGCCCTTGCATGGATAATGGTGCATTTTCATGATAGTCGTTTCTTGCTCCTGGATCTCTTCTGTCGATATAATCTAATTGCATGATATCATTTTTTGCCCGTTATTTAAATATACATAATTATGTTAAAAAAATATCCTCATTGTGAAGAGGTTCTAAATAAAAATAGATTAAAATTTAGTTATATAATAGTATAAATATAGTTACATATTAAGTATTTTTAACAAATAATAACTTGCTTATTATGTGTATTTTTATTCCTAATATTCGGGAATATCCAATAATTTGTAAAAAAAGCAAAATATTTTCAAACAAAAGTTATATAAGTTATCAAAAATCCTATATATTTTAGAAAAAAACTATTGATTTTACTAAAAATGTTGTATAAATTAGAAAAATGCCATATAATTTATAACAAATATAATCACTTTCATCAAATGCTATATAATTTATAAAAAACACAGTCTATTTCATTAAAAGTAATATAATTCATTAAATACAATATAAACCATAAAAAATACTGTCGAAAATATAAAAACATAATCGATTTATTAAAAAATATTATCGATTTGAAACCAATGAGCACTGTATTGTGAAATAGTTAAGTTTTGTAATGGTAACTTAATAGTAATACATTAACATGCATGGGAGATAAAAGATTTTTTAAAACGACTTTATAAAAAAACCAATAAACCATCGACCATGGGAACATTTTAAAATAGTCCAAAAGTTTTACATAATTACTGATGAACCATAGATAAAAATCCTTTGAAAAATTATTTACCAAAACCCTCCTTTTAAAAACATTATTCTGATAGTCCTAATAAATATAAAGCACAAACCGCAACTCAACTGGTTAAAGCAACTCAAGTGGTGCAAAGAAGCAAGAATTGTTGCAATTGTTAATATTATTTGAATCATAATATTACTCGAAAAGAGTCAAAAAAACAAGGAAAAAAGCCAAATGATGGGCTAAGAGGGTTGATCTTTGGCAATCAAAAGTAACAAAACATTTTAGATCGTGTGAATTCCCGAACAAGCATTCTTAAAATAAAACTGCAACATATGAAAAACGAACCCCAAAATACCATCATCTTTGTGTGTTTTGAACAGCTTAATTTTAGCCCGAGTTAGTGAGCAAAGCGGGTGGTGAATGCTGATCGAAATAGAACAGTCAGAAGGACGATAAGTAAAAGGCGACAAAAAACAAAAACATATTTAGATTGTATGAAGAAGAGCGTGAAGTGCGGGGAGTACGCCCACAAGCGCAATTACCAGTCGGCGACTGTCGCATTTTGCATCGGCCTTCTCAACCAGCGGGCTGTTGTCACTGTTTCCCAGCAAAAGACAAAATCGAAAATCACACTCCCTTTTTACAACATTGACTCAGTCAAATTCGCGGACAACGACGAAGTCTTTTTTTCGCATTTCGTCGAGGAGAAAATACAACAAATATGTACATTTGACATCGAGCATGGGATCAAAACAGATACGGCAACGACGCGCATTAAAAAGAACCGGATTGATCAGTCCCTCTATTTCATATGTGACATGTTGTTTGTGTTGGGGTTTCAGATCAGGTGGGTTCAATTCAACAAACGACGGGATGTACCTCCACATGAAGAGGTGTATAGGGTATTCGACGGAAAACAAATTTATACACAAAAAGAAATTGAAACAATAGGGAGGGGGGTCATCGAGCTGATCACTTGCAAGCTCATAGGAAAGGATTCCTTTGTTTTCGAAAAGAACAACCAACTCATCCAAAAGTGTTTTGATGTTCCTGTAACGGACTGACATCCTCATAATCCACTGTATTCTTATTTTGTGGAAGTTGTGGTGTGACTCCTTAAAACGCAAGATTGAACTATACCAGTTTGCCAACAGAAATACTTCGTTTACACTTCTTTTGTTGTACTATATTTTATCAATTAATAAACCATTCAATTACTTTGTTATAACAGTTAGAAATTAATATCCATTTGTTTTTTATGTTAAAATTAAAATATAATAATATGTCTTTATATATTATATATTCTATATATTTTATCGTATAAACCAATTGGAATGTATCTAAAGACTTCTATTTATTTGGTTGATAATAATATGTTAATCCTTCCCATTTTAAACAAACAAACGTAGCAATACCGTTAGTAAACCTATTGACAGAATTATACCATGGATTGTTAATTATTGATTATCTCCCATTACCTTCATGTTCTTCGTTTAGAGACTTTGTTTGCTAATTTTCCCGATAAATACGTCAAATTTTACAACCCATGAAATACTCTCAAAAAACAAAGCAAATTTTTCTAAGTTTCACCAAACTTATATTCTTGATAGGAAAGAACTTTAAAGTAGTTGAATGAAAACGCACGACATCAAATGCAAAGTGCGAGTCGTCATCCGGCAAATAGTTTTCGATACTATTCCAGAAAACCTTCCTGTTCTCCGCATTACATGGAATCGAGGGGACAGTAATGGGACAACAATGCCAATTCCACTGAACAAAGATGTTAAAGAAGAATTTTCTTTTACTTCGACTTTTCAATATTCAAAGAGTGTTTTAAAGCCAAAACCACTTAAACTGACTTACTTCACACAAAACAATCCAATAGCTACAGTCTCTTTAAACCTTTCTGATTATGTCATCTTAGGCAATGAAACTCGTCAATTAAAAGAAGAATATTCGTCTTCGTTTGGAGATTTCCATGTCCACTTGGATATCATTTTTGGGAATGGGGGACACTCATCCCGTCTTGAAAAGGTAGGTAAGCAGACCATTCTTTCACAATCCGCAAATTCTTCTTTAAGCTCTTCGTTGAGTAATTCCCCGACAAAATCGATTTTATCTCAATCCGCTTCCTCGTCATGCATTCCAAAGCGAAAAGTGCAAATCTCCGTTCAAACGGCGCGAAACAAAAATTCACTCGATCTATCCGATTTTGACTTCACAAAGAGACAAACCTCCCCATCCCCTTATACTATCCAACAAATCCAAAAAGAAGACCAAAAACCATCCCATCGACACACAGGTTCGTGTACAGACAGATCACCAGACTCTTCCCCATCTTCAAAGGTCGTTGAAATATCACCGCCATCTTCTATTACTCCACAACGACAACAAAGCTTTAGAACAAATCAAATTCAGAAATTCAAAGTGCGAGAGAACTCGTCTCTTCGGTCAACAGTCGAAGCACTTTCAGCAGACGAAGATGCCTTTGTTCAAGACATTAACAGAAATTCGTCGTTTCTTGAAATGGAAGAGAAGGCAAAAAACACTGACAACACCATTTTGACGCATTTAATCTTCAACACGTTGACTACCGACAAATTTACAGCAACGTCCGCTCTTTCACAAGTCGTCTTATTGCAATTGAACGGATATATCTCTTCTGATATATTACCACTCCGACTGTGTATCTATTTATACTCCTCGATATCGCAAATACTCACCCTCTACACTAACATCTTCTCAAAACAACGAGTAGAGGGCCTCGGTTCTTTTCTCGATGATCTCCATAAGACGATGTCAAAGTGTCATTGGCGACTGATGAAACTGTTTGAAGAGAGACTGAGTACCGCTTGTGTTGCGTCATTCAAAAGTGGGTGTACTGAAAAGCCATTCCTCCTTGAGTTCAATGCAGTCATCAAGCAAATCAAAGAATTCCGGATGTACCACCCATTTCAAGTGGTTGTTGTGTCAGATATGTTCAGGTTGTTTAATATTGTTTTTGCAGAGGAAGTTACCCATGGACATTGCACTTTAATGAATGGTTTCCAAATTCAAATGATGTTAGGAATGATGTCCGACTTTGAGTTCAAAATGAAGGAATTTCTCGTCGAGAAGGACAACTTAGTGATCGTTAAGGAAATAGCAAGAGTGCTTGTGCTCTCTCAGAAGAATTTATTGGAAGAGACGCGTGGGGATGTGTGTCCACATTTGACGGCTGACACTCTTGTTAAGATATTAACCAACTTTAATGAAATGTGCCCAGGTGAAGTCCCTCCAGGAATTATCTCCCTCCTTGGAAGATCAGACGGGGCGTTTAAACCGGAGTTTTTCGACTTTAACATGCCCGAACTCAAAGAACAGAGACTCAAAAGTGTCACAAGAGACGCACTTGAGTGCAAGTGGACTCCTTTCAACATCACCACTACTCCTTTCGCGTCGAGGAATTATTTAAATAATTAATTTTACTATACCAACACAATGACAAATTCTATATTTCAAGTAAATAAAACCATTGAGTGCTCTTTATCATTATCAATAGAAATAAATAGTTATTTGAACTAGAAAAAAAAGGTTATAAAAATAATTTATTATTATAACTTATTGAATGAAATATTATTATTGAATATACTGAAATTCATATATAGTAGAATATAATATAAAAGTAATAACAGATTTGTGCCATTGTTGACTGCCGAAAAACTATTTTTGCTTATTATAATAATAGATATTTAGGGTTGTATTCCCCCGTTTGTTGAGTCACTTTTCCGGAGAATTGTACGTAAAAAAATTCTATTTTTTTTAATACAATTGCCAATTCGATTTTTAACTGTTTTACTGCAAACTCAACAAAATTTCCACGAAAGAACAAAAGAGTTCGGCAAATTCAACGGTACTTCACATCTTTGATCTGTTATATTTTTTCTGCTTGTATTGAGTTGGATCACTGCCATTTGAACGGGATTTTCTGTACCACCCAATTATAATAAAAATCGAATGACCAATCGACGGCTTCGAAATATTTTTCTGTGAACAAACACGCAAGAAATAAGGAAAAGCTCCATAGAACCAAAATTTCAAGAGGAAAAGGACTTTTTCTCAGGAAAAGACAAAAGAGGTGTTTTTGCTTTGGTTTAGCACTATTGTGAGAAACAAAAAGTGGTGATGAGAAGAAAAGACGAAGGTTTTACATAGATTAATGAGAGGAGACAAGCAACTTGAGCCATACACCCCGAGACGATTACCACCCGGAGAACCCTCTTGCGATTTGTGAGTATTGTGGTGGAGACAAGTCTGTAAGTCCACATCCAGTGAATTCCTGTACCGGACTATTGATAGCAATTGAAGCGGATTGTTCGAAGACAGACTCTGAAATGTCTGGGTTTTCACATCTGTTTGGTGGCGTATATAAGTCTCTTCCGTTGGGTGTTGCGTTTGTTGAACCATTAGATGCTGGCGTTTCTTTGAATAGCAACAAATTTTTGACTTCCTCGTCAGTGAAGCTTGACATTGAATTTGACTCACTCAATTGATCGGATGGCTGAACATCTTGTTGGTCGATCTTAAGTGGTTTTGGTTGGCACGGCACAGCTCTGAATGGTTTTGGCTGTGCTACGATGTTAGCAGAGTCGCTCATCAAATGGAGTTTTTGAGATGAGTTCCTTTTTTCTTTTCCTTTTAAAAAAAAAAGAACTCATTATTAATTTGATGGCTTCCACACATCACAAACCCGCAATACCTTTGAAAATCATATTCATAGGGGAGAGTGGCGTTGGGAAAACCGCTGTCATTCAAAAGTATGTGAACAATGTTTTCCTTTCAAATACACAATCGACACTTGGCGTGGAGTTTGTCCCAAAGGTTTGTTTGTACAGTCTTTTAGTATACCATTTTTGACATCTCTGAATGAATGTATTGGATGTACTAATTATTTACTCTATATAAACTATATATAATGATTACTTATTTAGATGTATTAACATCGAGAGCTATGAACAAAAAAACAATAAAAACAAATATAAACTTCAAATCTGTTTGTTCTTCATTGGTATTTATGTGTTTGAATGAGCACTTGAACTGACAAAATAGGGGATACCGGTTTGTTTCTTATTTATTCATATGGAGTCTTTTACAGATCTCCAAGTAAGTAGTTACCGATTAATGAAAGATTCACATCTAGCCGGACAAGAACGTTTTCGATCGATGACAGCCGGTTATTATCGGGGGTGTCATGGTATCATAGTGATGTTTGATGTGACCAACCGTGATTCATTTGAAGCCGTGAAGTCATGGGCTGATGCTGTTGGTGGGAGTTCACAGAATGCGTTGTGTAAAATATTAGTTGGGAACAAAATTGATATCAATGGACAACGAAAAGTCGAGAAGGAAGAAGGGGAGAAGATGGCTGAACAGATAGGGTATATGTATCTTGAATGTTCTGCTGCACTCGACAAACCAGTGACGCAACTTTTTGAAACGTTAGCCGATTCCATCATCGCCAAATATAACCCAAAACCTTTAACACAAACAGAGACGGAAAAGGAAAGAGTCTCTATTGTCCCTCAACAACAAGCTGCATCTTCTGCAGTGCCAAAGGAACAAGCAGGTTGTTGTTAATTTAATATCACATTGAACCCTTTCAATTAGTGTTTTTTATACACAACATAACATCACATGAATTGAACATTTCTGCTTTCTTTTTTAATACAGAAACTAATAATTTGATGATTGCAATTGGCATTGGTGAAGTAGTATGGGACATTTTCGATACCGTCCGTAAACAAGGTGGTGCTCCCACCAACTTTGCAATGTATATGGGGCAATTCGGGTTTGAGTCGTATGGGATCACACGTGTCGGCGATGACGAGTTGGGTCGCGAGGCCCTCTTAAGGATGGAACAATTTGGCGTGCGCTGCATCGAACCTTTTGTCCCTTATGAGACATCCACTGTAGAGATCACACTGCATAACGGCATTCCACAATACAAAGTGAAAGAGAATGTCGCTTGGGATCATCTTGTTCTTACGGATAAAGAGTTTTCATTGTCTCAGAATGCGAAATGTGTCTGTTTTGGTACAATTGCTCAACGCTCTGAAGAAACGCATCAAAGCATCATGAAGTTTCTCAAGGCGATGCCTGTCGATTCTCTTCGAGTCTTTGATGTGAATCTGCGACAGAAGTATTACACTGCAGAAATCGTGAAAGAGAGTTTATCACTGTCAAATGTCGTCAAAATGAGTGATGAGGAGGTTCAAATAGTCGGTTCTTTATGTGCTATATCAGGAGATGATCTTCAAGTCATGAAACAGATTCATTCCCTCTACAATATGAAGTATTCATTACTGACTCTTGGTGACAAAGGAAGTTATGTGTTATACAATGACAAATGTGTGTATCTCGAAGCCACGCCAACACAAGTAGTCGATACTGTTGGAGCGGGGGATTCCTTTACCGCCGTTTTTGTGTCATGTATCTTAAAGAATTATACCGTTGAGGAATCGCAACGGTATGCAAGTGAAGTGGCTTCCTATGTCTGTTCACAAGAAGGTGCGATGCCGATGCTTCCGGAGTGCTTCAAACGTGTGTTCAACGGAACAAAATAAAAAGTGACTTATTTTTTCTTCTTGTCTTTCTTTTTATCTTTCTTCTTATCCTTTTTACTCTTCTTGTCTTTTTTGCTTTTCTTTTCTTCTTTCTTTTGTGCTTTTTTCAACTTCTTTGCTTCCTTTTTGCTTTGTTTCTCGTTTTCCTCTTCTTCTTTATTTGCTTTAATCTTTTTACTGTCTTCGTTCTTCTTGTTTTTCTTATCTGCCTTTTTCTTGTCTTTCTTGTCTTTCTTCTCTTGTTTCTTTGTCTGTTCAGCTTCAGCCTTTTCATCCTTTTTAAGCTGCTTGATGTACGTTTTCTCGTCTTTTTGAAGAACTCCATCAACAACTTTGTCGGCTTTAGACTCCTCTTTCTTCTTCTTCTTTTCTAACTTCGCCTTATTCTTTTCTGCCTTTTCCATTGCCTTGAAGATCTCTTTGTGGTGCTTTTTGTCGCGTTTGTCCTCTTTCTTCGCCTTTTTCGCTTTTTTCTTGTCGCCGTTATCAGAAGACTCGTCGTTTTCTTCAGACGATTTGTCCTCTTCCACCTCCTCATTGGAGTTCAATTCCAACTCATGTTGAACACATTCACAACACTCGCACGGTTCTTTCGTGTTTTGTTCTTCTTCCACGTGGACTTCGGCTTCCTTTTGTTCGTCTTTGTGTTCTTCGGTGGTTGGTGGATTCACCAAATTTGGTTGAGTCTCGGCTTTTGGTAATACTGAACTATCTGTGTGAGTCTCAGTTTGCTGCTGGGCGCCTTCGCCATCGGTTACAACAAGAGGAGAGTGGTGTTCATCATCGGTGTGAACAGAGACATCTCCCATCAGATTATCTTCAAGTTCTGACATACTGCTTTTCAAGTTTTTCATGCACTTTTATACACGTCTTTTTCTTGATTATCTGTTCCTTTTTCAGTTTTCTTTGTCTCTTATTAATTTTCCCCAAAATATTTCATGAAAAGTTCATTGAATCTTAGGTGTTTTTCCTTTAAATATTCATTTAAAATGCCTAAGATATAACTCGAATAATACAAGTCAACAGAAATGGGTAAAAATCAAGATTAAAAACCCAAATAAAAAGTTTGGAAATAAGCGACTTGCTTTATAAATAAGTCATGACGTAATAGTTATAAATAAAACCCATACAAGAACAAAGAGATGAATGTTTTACAGTTTCAGTACATTTGCAAGAAGATAATTTGCGAGAAGTTAAAGTGGTCTGGGTAGTGCGACCTGGTGAATATGTCAGAGTTGAGACCAATGTGGTCACAATACCCTCGTTGGAGTTGTTCTCCCGAAGCAGAGCCAATGTAACTTTTCCCTTCGCTCCTGATGTGATAACCGTACCCAACACCAAAGACCCAGCTATTTTGGTAGTCTCTGTGAATGATCATTTGGTTTTCATTGGTGGAGTTTTGAAAGAAACGAGTGGGCTGGATGTTGAATGAATTTCTGAGTGTGAAGACAAAATGCTTTTTGTCATTTGAAACGATTGCAGACCGTCTCTCAGGAATGAGAGAGTGAAACGAACCAAACACATCGTCGTTGTCTGTGACAACCAAGCACATCACATTCCTCCGGCCATGTAAAACACTCCAGATCGCTTTAGTTGAGAACTCGAATCGCTCTGTTGTGTAAATAATCCGACATTGTTGCGAAGAACTCCACTTGCACAAAATGTCAGTCATTGGGGTGTTCATCGAGTTGTGCAAAAAGTAATCCTTCATTGGAGAGTTCAGTCGTTGTTTCTCGGAATTGTTTTGGTTAGTTTCGTTAATTGTCGCACGTCCTCTTTGCATTGTCTTCTAACTAAATTTTACGTTTCGCCCAAATAGATTTGTGCGTGTCAATCTCGTTTAACTTCTTGTCACTTGTTAACTTGTCAATCACGAAGATTATAGTTCTCAAAAAAAGTAAATAATTAAAACAAAATAACAAATAGAATAACAAAAAAAAACATAGCTTCAGAGCAAAGAAAACCCTAAATCGAACTTAAAATTGGCTCGCTATTTGGAATGGTTAAGTACACATTCAAGCCGCAAAACACGACGAAAACCTCCATGGCGCGTGGGGACGATTTGAAAGTCCATTTCAAAAACACGTTGAACACTGCTGCCGCCATTAAGGGCATGAAGGTGACCCGCGCTCAGGCGTACTTGAACAATGTCTTGAAGAGAAAGGAATGTGTTCCATTCAGAAAGCACAACGGTGGTGTTGGAAGATCTGCCCAGACAAAGGGAATGAACTGTGCTTTTGGAAGATGGCCAGTCAAGTCGTGCAACTTCATCTTGAAGTTGATTAAGAGCGCTGTCGACAACGCCAAGGCTAAGGGCTTGAATACTAACCTCCTCGTCATCAGCCACATCTGCGTCCATCAGGCGAGACAAACCAGAAGAAGATTGTACAGAGCTCATGGTTCAATTAACACCTTCGCAAGCTCCCCATCCCACATCGAGATCGTCTTGACTGAAAAGGAAAAGAGAGTTGTCAAGCCAAAGACCGCTGATGCTGACAAGAAGGCTCCAAAACACTTCTTTAAACCAATCTACAAGATGTTCTAAAGGCGTCGTCAATTCTTTAATTCGAATTTGCTCCGATTTTTTGTTATTTTTCTTCTGTTATATGTGGGCTCTTTCTGCTTTTTTATTTATTACTTCCAATATAGGAGTTGTTATAGTTCATTTTAACTAAATATAGAATCTCAATAATTAAAATGAAAAGGACGAAAAATGGACTTAGTGATTACCTCTCCATCAAACCACAAGAAGCGAATTTGCTCTGTGGTGAGTCGGGAATTGTTGAGTTCGAAATTGTCAACTTTTCAACAACAGATTTTGAGCTCGAGATTGCGTGTCAATCTGCACACATCAACTCAAAAGGAATGGTGGTGGAACGAGAAGACAAGATAAGCGTTGGTGTTCGATACAAAACAGCAGAAGAGTTTGAAGGTAAGGTAGACATCGAGTTCACATTTCGGAGCTTGAACACCAACTTCACGCTCATCAAAAGCATGCCCCTTGTTGTTTCCAAAGGAATTACAACTACTACCGATAAAGCCCCAACGCCGATCAACTTAAACGCAAGCGAAGAAAACTTGGAGCCATTAGGAAAGTTTGACAATGTACCACAGACAAAAATGCCTGGTGAACTGCTTTGTGGCGCACAAAGTATTATGGAAATCGTAAAGAACTCAACTGATTTTATTTTGGAAACAACACACACAACAGGGAAGGTAATTCGTTTAAGTACTTTCTATAAGCGAGGGTTGAAAAAGATGATGGTTTCGAACTTGGTCCTTCAAAACGTTTTGTTGGTCATAAAAACAAAGGGATTTGCATTTGGGTTGTTTCTTGGTAATTGGTTTAAAGAAAGCAACAACATATACGTATTCAAGTGCGAAGAATACAAAGTGATATCGTTCACAACACCAACACAACGCACACCATTTGTTTTTCCGTCAAATCAAAACGACTTGACTTTCAACTTCCATAGAAAATCGTCAAATCTGTTTTGCACCGCAACAAACTTGTTCAGCGTCGCACGGAAGGACTTTGTGTCTATTTACAAGAAGAGTATCAACACGTTGTTTTTGGACGTTAATGGTAAGAAGGCGTCGACATATTTAGCACAAGATTTAAACGTTCCGATTGTCAAATCCGAGCTAGAAGAAATGTCGTTTTATTCATTTGAGGACAAATAAACTTTTATTTTGTATGTTTTGCTTTATTTTATGGAACGTTAACACGATTAAACCTTTAAACAAAACAAAACCCCATGTTGGTACTTTCATTTACTAAGAACGTTACTCAAACGGGTATACCTTTTTGTATCTGTTCTCTATGCGCGGGTTGTAATTCGAAACGAAAAGCACCACGTAGTATACAACTTTTTAACAAAACACTGGATAAATTGTACAGTTCATATAACAATGCACATTTACTTCCAAACTGTTTGTGAATTGTGTACAATTGAATGAAGATTCATACAATACTATTAACAATAAGGTACAAGAGATAATAAGAATAATAAAAAACAAAACTGTCGAAGAATAGACCTTGGTTTTGGAGAGCACAAGAAAATATAGCGGGGCAGCACTGCACCGACTCAACAAAACACGTTAATACATTTTGGAGAACCATTTTGTTTGTTGGAGATCGGTTAACAATTTCCGCAAAGAGCCGACACAACATCCTAAACACCTCAAAGTGCTCCGGGTACTTCTCTTTTAAAAATGCAATGACCTGATACACCGATAACACCAATTTGAAGTTTGGCGTGGATTGACGAAGCAACTGCTCGATTCGATCATTCACACTTTTTGGAATCAAAAGGACTGGAAGTCTTCTGAAAAGCCCCTTCAGCGTCGATGTGATCGCGTGCGGGTCAAAGTCCTTTAACTCTTGCAATGAAAAGGACCTCTTTGTTATTGCCTTTTCAAGTTGGGCTATATCGTCACTGCCTCCTGAGAGTCGTAGTATCCCCTCGATATCCACGCAATTGTCCGTTAAATGTTGTATCAATAATCGGTAAACTAACGGAGACTGTGAATGTTCGCGTTGGCACAAATCATGTAATGACACACCAATCACAGGTTCTTCCTTCTTGTTATTTAATTGCCACAAACACAATTGCCTTTCCTATTTAATCGATTCATAAAACTATACAAACCTGTTCGAGACGAGGAGAAGAACACGTCGACAAAATAGACATCGACAAACGAGCTGCTAATGTGATCTGACTAATCAGCGCTACTTTACTCTTTGTAAGCACCATTCTCCTTCTCACTGACTTGTCAGAGTACCACATCTTTCTTTCTGAGATCATTGTCTTCCAGCTGTTGATTTGTTCTTTAGACTCTGCTGAGAGTACCTTTGAGTTAGCTTTTGCATTTCCTCACAAGTCTAGTGAGTTCTTTTGTATAGTACTTATACTATTAATATAATACAGCATGAAGAAACTAAATTTAATAGTATTTTGA